AGAGAGGAGAATTTTGAAGGCAGAAGGTAGGGATTGGTACTGCACTTAATTTTTTTTTAAGTTAATGGAATCAGTAAGAGTTCCTCAAGAGAGAAGTGCGGAAGAAGAAATTGTAAGCGTAGACCTTCTACAATGTAAGCTATAAGATAATGAGACCTAATTACCAACCTAGTAATGCGCTTAAAATCGTATGGTCGAGGTACCGAAGTCATCAGAAAAATTACCATGAAAAGTAAAAGGGCATGGGATTACTTTGGTTTAAATTCTTCACAGAAGATCAAAAAGTTCCAAAGACATAAAATACGGTCAAAGAATTTGCAGGGTCAGCATGCCTCCTACGCCCAGATTCCTTAGTGAGGCAAACCATCACGCAGCAAAGAAATTATAGCCACTGACTCCATATGTGTCTTGCGAGATAAAAAAAAAACAAAACAACAAAAATTTGGGGGTCTGAATAATTGAAAAATCAGAAATTACACGAAACTTCTAAGGAGAAGGGGATCTGTGAAGACACTGAGTTTTTCTTTTACGCTACTGTTCACTCAATAATAGACCCAAGAGCCACCCAAGGTAGACGTAAGCAATTGTATATTATAAAAATATGGAGGCTGTATAAAGTCTCACCTTAAACTCGAAGTAGGTTGAAAACTGGGTAACGAATGAAGGTAGGTCTTTAGTTGGGTAAACAGCGAAGGCACACTCCTAAAACATACAATATATATATATATATATATATATATATATATATATATATATATATATATATATATATAAAGAATTGTAAAAGAAAGTACTGCGAACCAAGAATACAAGGCACTGTAATAGAGGCTAATAAAATGTAAAAGCAAGAGTCAGTCAACCAACCAGGTAGGTCTAGATATTTACTTGACCCCCCCCACACACACACACTGAGTCAGGTTGTGACACAAGGTCAGTTTTTAACGTGGGAACCCCGAATGTTTTCACTCGGGCCGCTGGTCCAAACTGGTCATAGCTTGTCCAAGCTTGTCAGAGCTGGCCTAAGCTAGTCATAGCTGGTTATGACATGTCCAAGCTGGTCCAGGTCGGAGCCGGTCCAAGCTGGTCCAGGTCGGAGCCGGTCCAAGCTAGTCCTAGCCGTAATACCACCAGCCCAGGGACGAGCCCTGGGCCAGATAGGTATTTGACAGACCATACTTAAAAGTACGATCTATCAACCAGGTAGGTCTATATTGCAATCTGAATAAGACAGAATATGTCACAACCTCTCCTGAACCATCCGAGTTGAAGTCACTGAAGAATACATATATCAAAAGAGTTGAGGATTTCAAATATGTTGAAGCGTACATAATAGATTCCCAAAAAGACCTCAACATCCACAAAGCTCTTGTATAGGATGCGTGTAACAAATTTCACAAGATTTGGCGCCTGAACCTTCCATACTCCTTAAAAGTCCAAACCTTTCAAATACTTATTGAACTAGTCCTACGGTATGGATCAGAAACTTGGACATTATCTGTTCGTCTTGAAAGATTACTGGATGGAACATATACACATCTACTTAGAAAAGGTCAGAACATTAGTTGGAGATCCCATGCAATGCTTAATACAATTTACGGAGAACTGAGAGAAATTCATCTTAAGCTCAAATACAAACAATTATAGTTTGCCGGCCGCTGCCATCGAAGGAACGGGGAAAAATCGTCACATCCTTACTCTTATGGTGTCCTTCTGGAATTGTCTTCTCACGAAAATTGACTTTCCCCGGCATCAAAGGGAGACAGGGATGGATATTGGCGATCTCAGGACAGCAATGCAGGACCAAACAGTGTGGAAATGGATTTTCAATAGAGATCCGACCGAGCGTAGATCGAAGGACAATGATGATGATGATGGTAAAAAGCAAAACAAGCAATAGCCGCTTCTTGGACAGTTTGAAAGGAACGCCAAGGTCATTAAAACAAGATTCGTGGGATTGATTGACGAAAGGCGAATTGAAACGCAAAGCTGAAAGTCTCTTGTTTAGTCGCCCAAGGTTAAGGTTCTGAATACTAATTCTGCCCAGAAGGACCTCTATCAACAAGTGGATTCGGATAAGTGAAGACTGTGAGGCGTTGAGGTGGAAAATGTCATCTATATCATTAGTAATTGGGGAATGCTTATGCAGAAAGAATACAAACGCCGCCATGATAATATTTTTTTAATCATTTCACCCCAAGCAAGCTAATAAAGCCACTAGGACGTTGGAGGCTACCGAGTGTTAGAGAAACATGAGAAAAACTATTATTAAGGAGAGAGGACAATAAAAGAGCAAGAATTAAGGAGACTGAGGGTAACGATTCACATTGCATTACACATTTGGTGTACGTTGATCGCATACCAGTGTAAAATTTACCTATTGAGTTGCTTTTAATAACACATGTATATAAAAGAAATTGCTTCCCAAATGTACAATTTTATCTATCTATCTATCTATCTAAAGTCTCCTTCCTTCCTTCCTATCTATCTATCTATCTATCTATCTATTTCAGTCTGTCCCTATCTATCTATCTATCTATCTATCTATCTATCTATCTATCTATCTATCTATCTATTTCAGTCTGTTCCTATCTATCTATCTATCTATCTATCTATCTATCTATCTATCTATCTATCTAAAGTCTCCTTCCTCTATCTATCTATCTATCTATCTATCTATCTATCTATCTATCTATCTATCTATCTATCTATCTATTTCAGTCTGTTCCTATCCATCTATCTATCTATCTATCTAAAGTTTCCTTCCTATCTATCTATCTATCTATTTCAGTCTCTTCCTATCCATCTATCTATCTATCTATCTAAAGTTTCCTTATCTATCTATCTATCTATCTATCTATCTATCTATCTATCTATCTATCTATCTATCTATTTCAGTCTGTTCCTATCTATCTATCTATCTATCTATCTATCTATCTCAAGTTTCCTTCCTATCTATCTATCTATCTATCTATCTATCTATCTATCTATCTATCTATCTATCTATCTATCTATCTATTTCAGTCTGTCCTATCTATCTATCTATCTATCTATCTATCTATCTATCTATCTATCTATCTATTTCAGTCTGTTTCCTATCTATCTATCTATCTATCTATCTATCTATCTATCTATCTATCTATCTATCTATCTATGTAAAGTCTCCTTCCTTACTATCTATCTATCTATCTATCTATCTATCTATCTATTTCAGTCTGTTCCTATCTATCTATCTATCTATCTATCTAAATTTTTCCTTCTATCTATCTATCTATCTATCTATCTATCTATCTATCTATTATCTATCTATCTAGTCTATCTATATCTATCTATCTATCTATCTATCTATCTATCTATCTATCTATCTATCTAAAGTCTCCTTTCTTACTCTCTATCTATCTATCTATCTATCTATCTATCTCTCTATTTCAGTCTGTTCCTATCTATCTATCTATCTATCTATCTATCTAAAGTTTCCTTCCTATCTATCTATCTATCTATCTATCTATCTATCTATCTATCTATCTATCTATTTCAGTCTGTCCCTATCTATCTATCTATCTATCTATCTATCTATTTCAGTCTGTTCCTATCTATCTATCTATCTATCTATCTATGTAAAGTCTCCTTCCTTACTATCTATCTATCTATCTATCTATCTATCTATCTATCTATTTCAGTCTGTTCCTATCTATCTATCTATCTAAAGTTTCCTTCCTATCTATCTATCTATCTATCTATTTCAGTCTGTCCCTATCTATCTATCTATCTATCTATCTATCTATCTATCTATATAAAGTCTCCTTCCTTCCTTCCTTCCTTCCTTCCTATCTATCTATCTATCTATCTGAAGTTTCCTTCCTTCCTATCTATCTATCTATCTATCTATCTATCTATCTATCTATCTATCTATCTATCTATCTGGTGGACTCTCTAGACGTATGAGGGTCAAGCGACTCAGTTCCTAGGAACCAATAGCCAGATACCAGCACATATGATTCGATTATAGTGTTGAAGGCCTTGTGCAGAACCAAAGGAAGGGCCGAATGCCGAATACAGAGACCTGGTGCGCTACGTGCCACAAGGTCTGCAAACGACCTTCCGCAGGTTTTGAATTCAGAGTTTTCCCTTCTCCTAGACCAATTCCATGGCAAAAGATTAATACCTTTCCCAAGGTATGTATTATATTCGAGTGGAATTCGAACTCTGCTCTCTGAATGTTCACTCCGAGCTGCTATTAACTACTCCAACTTGTTATTTTTATATATATATGAAGATGTCTGTAGGAACAGACGAAAGCTTGCAGTAAAAATAAGAACTAATACGGTAGAAATTTATGGAAACAAGGATCATTTCATTCATAACGGATTCGGAGGTTTTTGTATATTATTAGAATTGTTTGCGATGATGGATTTCTCGCCAATTAAATCATTAACCTTTGCATTTGTTTTTTTGTGAATGATTCATGAATAATATATATATATATATATATATATATATATATATATATATATATATATATAAAATAAAAAGGCTTAAACAGTAATATTCCATGGTTATAATTTATTACATTGGAATCGCAATTATGATCAATTCATTAGACCTACAAATTCAAAAAATATATATATATATATATATATATATATATATATATATATATATATATATATTAGTAGTAGTAGTAGTAATAATCTTATAAGTATAAGAAATTATACTCCTCGGAAAACCTTCAGTGACTTGATTTGCAAATAATCAAACCAATAGCAAAACCAAAAGGGAATAAAGGTATAAAAAAAAGAAAAGAACCAAGAACATGGACGTTAGCCGAAAATAATCGTCTAGCATGCAAGTCCAAAGCCCAAAAAAAAACCCGATATGAGTAAAGAAATAACAAAATAGAGTCTCAATACAATATATATATATATATATATATATATATATATATATATATATATATATATATATATATACCTTTAAACGATAAAGCCCTGTTGTCATAGTTTATGTTAGTTCGATTTCCAGAGGCTTTGGGTACTGTATACTTTCGCTTTCACTTTGGTCGGTGTCTGTGTTTTCTTTTCTTGTATATTGTTATGACCTTTGGTAGGTCAGATTTTCGTACAGTTTGTGTTTGCTTCTTTTCTTATTCTTTCTTTCTCTCGCATCTATCTATCTATCTATCTATCTATCTATCTATCTATCTATCTATCTATCTATCTCAGTCTGTTCATATCTATCTATCTATCTATCTATCTATCTATCTATCTATCTCAGTCTGTTCATATCTATCTATCTATCTATCTATCTATCTATCTATCTATCTATCTATCTATCTATCTATCTCAGTCTGTTCATATCTCTCTCTCTCTCTATATATATATATATATATATATATATATATATATATATAATTTCCATAAAGTCTAATTCCAATTTTTAAAAAAACACTACAAATGCAAATGAATAGACAAATTATGTCGAAACTGTTAAAATATCCGTAGACATTGACAATTTTTACTAATTTAAAACACTTCTATATAGGCAGGATTAGGTTCCATGAAGCAAATCAAGACGGAACTCGATTTCTGGCCATGTTCACTGTAGCCTCATCAATGATGGCAATGGCATCAGTGGTTTACATCAATTATGACTCATAATTTTTGTTCGATACACGATATCTTAACAGATCCCGATAGAAAAAAGCCCAGGGGAGTGATATTTGGTGAACGAGGTAACCATGGAATCGGGCCATCTCTTCCAATCCACAGGTATTGAAATGTTAGGGGTTCATTTAACAGTACCCCTTTCATCAACAGGGTACCTGAAATACACGAATGCAATGTGATTAAAATCTGATTAAGATATCGCATCAATTGGCTTTGTAAGATATTTTAAAATTCTAAAAAGACACCTGTATTTCAATAATTTCACACCAAACAAGGCAATAAAGCCTCTAAGACACAAGTGTTAGAAAACATGAGAAAAAATCACTATTTTAGCGAGAGAACAATAAAAGAACAAGGATTATAAAAGCCAGAAGATACGTTTTTTTTTTAAGATCAAAGTTGACTGGGAAGCAAGAAGCCGGAAGCGAGTTCCACAAGCGAGAAGTGCGATAGAAGAAACTGTTAGAACGGAACTTACAGTCAGTTCTGACCATTTCAGTAGTAAAGTGATGAGACCTAAATGCCAATCTAGTACTGCGCTTAAATTCATAAAGTCTAGGTACCATAGAGGAAAGTAATATATATTAATATAAGTAAACAAAAATGTGACACAAGGCAAAAATGGGAGGATGAGAGAAAGTTGGTCTTCAGTCTGTTTTATTTTAAACTTATCTAGTCACAAACATTAACCCAAACAAACTACAATATTCCTTGCAGCAAAAATACACATTCTTACGTCAGTCACCGTAATACCTCAAAGTCTCTATGTAGTCCTAACAAGTCCCCATATGTACAATTTGTCTGTGTGGAGTGGGGAATAAAATAACAACTTTTAAAAATGAAACCCTAATAGAGCAAAGTTCATTAGAACAATTACCATGAAATTATTTATAGAAAAGGTACTGAGAAGCTAGATTATGGCAGCGTGAAAAGGAATGAAGCAGAGATGCCAGGTCAAGAGCATTAACATTGCAGATTCATCATTGGTGCCTATGAACTTGGGTTAAAGCAAAAATTTTTGCCCCTAAAAAAAATAGATGGAAAATGAAAGGTGAGGTTCTATAGGATTTTACCATCCAAACAGAGGTCACGAAAAAAGACATCACCGTCATTGAAAATAGAAAAAAACAAAGACAAAAAAAAAAATATTTTTCATTTGTATAGCTATTTTGGTGACCATAAAAACAAATTTTAAAATAACTAATTTTTTGTCAGGTCAAATTCGCAGTTAAATATTTGGCGAATAGGGGTTTCTTATTTTCATTCTCATCTCGGAAAATCTTCTGGACGGCCTCCTTGTTTGAATTAAGAACGATCTCCCAATTTTAAGTATGCTGCCATAATTCTTGCCTTCAGTTGATATTTGGTACCACGTTTGGAGTTTTGAGGGGTCTTTTATCAAATATTTTTAATAATCAAGTTGCAGTCTGAGAAGTAAGGTGACCAGGTGTAAGGGGTGATGTGGTGGCAGAAGTTGTTTGACAGCCATTGTCTTTTCATGGTGCAACTTTCCAGCAGCCACCCTCTTACTAAAGCAGACACTAAGCTTTTCAATGCATTTGATTAACCTCCATGTTGAGTCTGAGGCCTTTTGGAGAGATGAATGGAGGCATAATGTTACCATCATTTTGATATTTCCAAACACCTTTGTAATCGCTATTAGACTTATTCAACTCTTTCCGTATCTTCTGCGCTGTTTGACACTCGGAAATATTTTTTTTAAATTGCGAATTTTACAGTACAATATGTTGTTTCCAAATTTTGGGCAGAACTGGATTGCGTCATGGTGCTGGTTTCCTCACAGACAGTGCCCAAATGAACCTACTATATATACTGTACAGTCGACAAAATAAAAAAATGTGCATTTTCGAAATAAAAAATATAAAATGGCGACACAATTTACCATCTCTCCATTATATATATATATATATATCCGTTGTGAAGAAATGATTTTTTTAAGGTGTGCTATATTTATGGGATAAAGGGCTTATTATCAGACAGACGTATGTAGGTATAAATTTGAACGTTTCTCCGAAAAAAAAAGGAAGGTTTTTAAAAATAAAGAAAAGCAAGCAAGCAAGAAAGACATAATTTTATATTTTCTCGTCTAAAAGTTTTGGTTTCTAAAAAGAGAGAATAAAATAAAAACAGAAACAAACAGAAAACCCGTACGAAAGCCTGGTCTGCCAAAGGCCATGAAAAATACAAGAAAAAGGAAAAGAAAGAAAAAAAGAAAAGAAAATGCAGAAAATTTAATTGGCTATTATACAGAACTCAAATCTTCTAAAAATGGAAATTTGGGATACTTGACAACAGAGTTTTTTATCGTGTGAAAGTCACAATTTCAGATCGGTCATCCTCAGGGTGTTCTGGGGTTCTTTTGTCTTGCATGCGTATATGAGATAACGATATATATTTTTAGATATCAAGAACAGTATTGGCGACATTGTGTGACAAAGTGGAAAAAGTTTACTTGTGACGCGTTTTATCCTTCAGGACTTCATTTGTTATGTAGGGAACGACTACGCATGCGCACGACAGAGGGGTGATGGGAATTTTAAAATTCTTTTTTTTTACTATCTAGGTGAATTAATTTAGTTGTATTAATTTTCCCGGTTCTTTATTAAACTTTTGTATATAAAATAAACCACATGGTGATAATACAATTTACAGAGAACTGAGACTAATCTCTCTTAAGCTCAAATAAAAACGATTACAGTTTGTGGGCCACTGCCACCGAGAGGTCTCATCCTTACTCTTATGGCGTCCTTCTGGAATTGTCTTCTCATAAAAATTGACTTTCCCCGACATCAAAGCCCGGGACTCAGGGTAAGACATTGGGGATGTGGGAACAGAAATACAGGACTGAACAGTGTAGAAATGGATTTTCAATGGAGATCCGACCGACCATAGGTCGGAGGACGATGATGGTGATGGTAAAAAGCAAAACAACCAATGGACACTTCTTGGACAGTTTGAATTGATTTAATCATTAAAACAGGATTCGTAGGATTGGTCGACGAAAGGCGAATTAAAATGCAAAGTTGAAATCCTCTTATTAAACTAAAAGTTTAAGGCTCTGAATACTAATTCTGCCCAGAAGGACCTCTATTAAACAAGTGGTTTCGGATAAGTGAAGACTGTTTGAGGCGTTGAGGTGGAAAATGTCATCCATATCATTAGTATGCTAAAAAATGCTTAAATATGCAGAAAGAATACAGGTTCATTCATGATAATTGCTTTTAATCATTTCATCCCAATTTAAACTAATGAAGCCACTAGGACGTTGGAGGCTACTGATTTATGTTTTAGAATGAAAACGAATTCACTATTATTAAAGAGAGAGGACAATAAAAGAGCAAGAATTAAGAAGACAGAAGGTAACGATTCACATTGCATTACACGGTTAAGTTGGGTGCACAATAATCGCATACCAGAGTAAAATTATAATAACATGTATATAAGAGAACTTGCTATCTATCTATCTATCTATCTATCTGAAATAATGCCCTTCGGTTTTAGTTCCCACCACTCCATCTCTCTCCCCCACCCCTTTTTCTTTTCTTTTCCTCTCCCTCTCTCATATTCTGATCTTATATTCTTATATATTGTATATTCTTAGATTATATCGTCTATCGTGTGTGTATGTCACTACAAAATGTATCTTTCCGGTTTATATCTTTGATCTATTAGACATCCGAGAACATTCATATTTCTCTCTCCTTAAACCGTCTTTGACTCCTCTTTAAAACTTCTCTAAATTAAATTTTAATCCCCCTTTCATCTTTAGACCTTCCTTTTTCTTCTCTCGTCTGTCATATTCCCTATCTGCTTTCATTTAATCTTCAACATTCGCCCCACATGTCACATACATACACTCTCAGTAAATTTTTTTTTTTTATTCCCATAAGTTGTTTTTTTTTATATTTTTTGAATTTTAGGTCTGATGAATTGGATCGTATTTTGATTCCAATGGAATAAATTTGACCATAGAATATTAGTGTTTAAGCTTGGAAATATATATATATATATATATATATATATATATATATATATATATATATATATAATTGTGTATACGGAATGAATTCCAATAACCAACAATTACTATTCTTAAAAAGAGTGCTCAATACAAAGTAGAGCAGATATAATTATTTTCCAAAAAAATTATAACATAAATATGTTATAAAATCACTACAAAAAATATTATTTATAAAATCCACTATAAAAATAGCACTTTTGCTATTTTTTACACAATATGATTTGTTATTTATATTTATTTAAAAATTTTTAAAATAATTTTATATATATATATATATATATATATCGCCTATATCTGGGTCTATTTAAAATATCAGGTCGTGCTTTTTTCTTGGAATGCTGAAATTTTGTAAGAATCAGGACGCAGATTTACTGTAGACAAATTCGCGATTAGGACACGGTAGACATTTACGTCGTAGTGGGTTAGTTACCCACCGTAACGAGACTGACCAAAATTTTGGCATAAAAAAAACTACCCTTACCTAAAGCTGAGTGATGCTACCTTCAGCATCTCTACTCCAGTGTTTCGTCGACAAAACATCCAGCAATCGCTCCGCCCACTCGTCAGCGGATAATTAAGATATTTTTTTATTTATTCGTTTTTTATTTCATATTGTGTTGGAAAATAAAATAAAAAT